CTCTCTCTTCATTGTTCTATCTTCTCACTTCTCATTCTCACTCTCAAAATCTCAGGCTCACTATCAGAGGCGAATTCAGGCACTGACGCCACCAGTCGTCTCTCTCTCCAGTAGTGAGTCCTTTCTCTCTCTCTCTCTCGTTAAGTTTTCCCTTAATCATCTTTTTCTTTAGGAAAATGAAAAGCTGCTGAGAAAATAGGAAGAAAATAAAAATTTCAGCCTTGTATGTTATTACGGAGTTATTCTGGGACTTTTCCTCTAATTTCCCCTTTTGTTTATCCTATAACATTAATGAAATACTCGTTCAGGCAAGTTTAGATAACCTGATGCATTGTGGTAATATTATACTATTAGATAACTTCTAGTTTCCCCTTTTATTGGCTCAGTTTGTCCTTCAACAGTGCTAATTATTGCCTAGCATAGGGTCCAGCTTTATATTGAATTTATAATTTATATTCATTTTTTAATGTAAATAAAATAATTAATTTATCTAATATCTCTTTATAGAAAACTGGTTTATATACCATTTGAGTTAGTTAACTATTTCATACAACTGTACAAGCAATCCCCACAACAGCAACCGGAATTGGTTGATTAAATCATCTAATATCTCTATAACCAGCCCAATTTTGGGCTTATAAGTGAAATCACAGCTGCATTTTGCTTCATTGGAGCAAATTGGTATGGAGTTTTTGTCCAAATAGTGCAAAGCCTACTTCTTTTAAATAATAGTCCAAGCATTTACACATAATTAATTGAAAATTTCTCTAAAGCCCATTTTGACAAATAATACCCTTGCTCCTAAACAGAAATTGGTTGGCAGATTTTCTGACATACTGAAGGAGAAAAAAGAAAAAAAAATAAAAAATAAAAACTGAGAAACAAAAAAAAAAACAGTAAAGTTAAAAAAAAAATGAAGTAGAGGAATCAGCGTCTAAGCTTTTCTTGGTTGGAGTTTTTTGTACACTTTCGAAAGCTACACAGCTTTATTAAGTGATTGCGTCTTCTACTTTATTATAATTTTGTTAACACTTTTATTCAAATCAAACTGTCTAAGTAAGATAAAGATAAATGGAAAACTGACATATAAGGACGAATTCATATCTTCCTAGAAGCATTCAAAGGGTACAAAGCAGTATTGAGAATTGGTTCTTAGTGTTCTATGATTGATCTAATACATAAAACTGGATATATATATATATATATATATATATATATATATTTGCTTTTTTTTTCCTATTTTTTTGCTTTTTTTCATAGATATGTTGCCTCCCATCTATTTCTTAGTGAATACATAAAAAAATTTGGTGTTTTTGATTAAGGTATATTTTCTATGTATAGATGTTATGAATTTATGATGTAAGAACAAATAAAAATGAATAATAAGGGTTATTTGACTCTATTTTTCTTTTAGTTTTTTATTTAATATATGCTTGTCTTATTGATAAAATTAGAATGTATTATGCAGGTTATTTCATATTTAATAATTGGCATGTCAATGGCAAGTGAAAGTGCAACTGAGGAGTAGATATAGTAGCTGATGACTATCAAGAGTATGACCAAACTTCAGTAAGAAAATATTCACATTTAAGGTATGGGAAGAAATAGAAAAGATTAATTCGGAAAATGCATGATGTAAGCATTGTAAGAAGATCTTACAAGGTAAATCAAATAAGAGAACTACTCACTTAAAGCGTCATTTACAGTGTTTCCCTAGATGTACAATCAGCATATTAGATAGTATAAAGTAATTACTCAATCAAACACTGATGGGAGTACTTCTTTTAAAAACTAAGTACCCTACTTCAAACATTTACTTCAAGGGAGTGTGAATGATTCATAGTCATTTAATGGCAATAAGTAAGAAATCTCAGAATTTTATGATTGACATGGTTAAAAATATAAAGGAAAATTTTGATAAATATTGGGCTGAATATAGTATGATTTTTTCTTGTAATGTTGTATTGGATCCTCATTGCAAGATTAGGTTAGTGGAGTATTGTTTTAATAAACTTTATGGTAATGATGCTGAGGAGCATGTTAATGATATAATTAGAACTCTCCATGATTTGTTTGATGAATATAAAAAAAAAAAAATTTCCTCGACCTCCTTTGTTGAATCTTCTAGTCAAATTGACATGAGCAAGAGAAATGATGATGGTGATGGATTTGAGGATTATGAGCAATTCTTGAGTTCAAAATGAAAAAACTCATTGGGCCTTTACTTGGAGGAACAAAACCTTGATATCAAGGCAGATGTTGATGTTTTGGAGTATTGGAGTAAAAGTTCACTTAGGTATCCTGAATTGGCATCAATGGCTTGAGATATTTTGGCTATTCTTATTTCCACAGTTGCATCTGAATCTATATTTAGCATTGGAAAGAAGGTGATCAATCCTTTGAGAAGTTCACTTAAATCCAAGACTGTTCAAGTTTTGCTTTGTCTTGAAGATTGGCTCTATGCACAAGGCTTTGTATTAATTTTTTATCTATTGTTTATTAACATCTTTGATTCAATACTTCACTTAATTTATTCTAATAGTTTTTCCAATTGTATGCAGAGGGATCAAGTTTGTTAAGGGGCTCCTTCAGGATCTTCGTGTTTGTTAAAAAATCATGAATGTTCAAATAGTAGTGATGATGATAATGAAGATGCTAAACTTGATGATATGTTTTAGGCATTATAATAACATATCTTTCCGTTATTTATTTGTCATTTGACATGATAACAAATTACATATGTGATATGGGTAATGAATGTGTCTCTTATTTTCTTTTTTAGGATGGCTTGGAACTTGGAAGTTGGAATGTTCAATCTTGTTGGTGAATTTAAGAATGGATGGAGATGGCTAAAATATGTTTTGTATGATATGGGCAATGAATTGATCTTTTATTTTATTTTTTTAGGATGGCTTGGAACTTGAGAGTTGGAATATTCCATCTTGTTGGTGAATTCAAGAATGGATGGAGAACATGTTTTATGGATTTTGTTTGTCTTATTCAATTTTTTTTTATAATTTTGGAAGAACATGATGTTATATGAATTTAATTTCATTGTGTTATGCTATTTGTAGGAATATAAAACTATATGAATTTGTCTCATGTGTTTTATTTTCAGGTTTGCCTTGGTTGTATAGAAACAACTAGACAACAGGGAACATATTAAACAACCGTAAAGAAGGTTGTTGATTGTAAGGAAAAATGAAATTAAAATGGAATCTTTGTAGGAATTAAAATGGATTATGTCCATTTGAATAGATTTTATGATTTAAGAATGTGAAACGGTTGCATTGTAGGTGGTGATTGGTGAACATGTGCTCTAAAACATAAAAGAAATCATGATGCAATCTTTAATAAAAGGGAAAAATCAATCTTTTTATTAGGTTGGGCTTCAGGCTTTTTATGAGGGCCGAGCTCAGGCCCAAGTTATAGGCTCGTTGGTTGGGTCGGGCTTGAGCTTGGGCCTGAAAAAATCCTGTTAATGAAGACTAAAAGCCCGACTCGAGCCCGGCCTAGCTCGGCCCATGAACGGGTCTAATCATGAATGAACAAGCCAATATTCAATACAAATGGGGCCCATAGTAAATACTTGTGTATTCACTCGTGATAAATAGCCCAGCCTGGTATGCATGATTTTGTCTCCAACACATGTGGTTAAGGACAGTACGTAGCTACTAGCTACCACATGCCTAGAAATTTGATTTTGAATTATCTTTTTTGGTGAAAGCATCAATAATGTTAGGTGAGGTCCTTGTTTGGGTTTTTATTATGGTCTATCACACTACCTTAGGAAAAAGGCTTTTGAGATCAAAGCATTGACAAGCACAGGTCCACCCATATCTTGTTCAAACAACCTTTACTTTCTATAAGCTAGTAGCCATATAAATGCATGCCAACTAATTTCAAAAATCTGATTTCTATCATTTAAACAACCAAACAACCATTTTTTTTTTTGTGAGAGCATTACCTGTAGGGGTGGCAATTTTTCACCCAATCCGCCCAACCCACCCAACCTTCCCATTTACTTGGCGGGTTGGAAATGGGTTAATCATCCACTGGGTCAATTTAAATGGGTTGGGTTGGGTTGTGGATAACCATTGGGTTAACCACTAAAGATATAAGTAGTAATTCCTTAGCCATTTTTTTAATTTTCTTTATTTGAATGAAATAATTTATAATTAATTTATTAATTTTCTATTCATGACTAAAATTAGTTTTGTTTCGAATCAACACACTTCACCCAAATCGACATAAATCCAATTCAACTTGACCCGAGTCCGGACAAGCTCAACTTGGTCTAAATATGAATAGACCCGATCACCTCAGTTTGGATTGGCTAGCCCAATCCGATCCAAGACATGCCGATCCGATTGACCCCAATATGAAACGGGTACGGACGGGATAATTCAGATCGGACTTGGTCCGGTCCCTATCCGCACAACCCAACACAAATCTAGATAGGTCTGATTTACTTCCCTTAAACCGCTTCATGTCAGTTGGTTCAGTCCCAAACCTGTGCACGAACCTGATATGGGCCGTTGCAAGTCAATTTGTCATTGGCCAAACCGGTTCGGTCTAGTCCGAATAGACTAATCTAGATCTGAACAGTTCAACCACCCTTGATGTGATTAGCTCAAAGACAATCCAATTAGATAGTTCAAGTTGGTCCGATCGGTTTGAACCTAAGTGGTCCGGTCAAACCTGAAACCCAAACATAGTCAAATGACTTTACCGCTCGTGTAAAAATAACATACATGTAATGTGATTTGAACTTCACCACTTGTGTAAATAGCAATTACTATTACCACCAAGCTATGACCAACTTATTTGTTAAGAGGGAGTTTGTTATTTGTTTTAGGTACATAAATATAAGATTAATGGGTTTGGACGAATTGGATTGGATTAAAGCGGATTTGTATTGAACTTAACCCATTTAATTTTATATAACTGGGTCATTAATGGGTTGGCAGATTAGATGAATTGGGTTGAAATTAAACCTAAACCAAACCCAACCCAACCCGCCCAATTGCCACCGTTAATTACCTACAACCAAACGATTCATCAGCGACCTCAGTGAAATGAGAACACGCCAACATTTGAAAAAAAAAATTCATTTTTCATTACGGGGCTCTGAATTGTTCTGTGACCATGGTCGCAGGTAATGTGAGCTCCTTTTCAGTGACCAAACTGCCGCAGGAAGGAACACAACTCCTGGATCAAATAGCTGTCATGCTGTTTCTTTCAAGTCTGGCAAATCAGTTTCATTGGAAACTCTTGGCATCCTCTCATTTGTTTCTTCTTTGCTCTTTCCCCACAAGACACTGTAAAGGCCTCCAGCCAACAAGATTCCCCCTAAAACACTGCAACACAACCCAGCTTCATATTAGCTTAGGTAAATTTGAAGCTTAATCTAAGATTTGATTTTCATCAAGAAAAGAAATTAAAACAACCTTCCCAAGCTAATGAGTTCGCCCAAGAGAAATGTTGAACAGATGATGGTGATGATAAAAGAGAGTGGGGTTGACATGGCCAGAAACACGGGCCCTTTCTTCTCAATGCACCAGGCTTGCAGGTAGAATGTAAGACCGGTGACCACGAGTCCCTGGAGCCATGAATGAACCATAACAAACTCTATCAGTTACAGATAAAAAGGGCTTCATTAACTGAAGACCAAAGAACAATATATCAGATACAAGGGTTTCTAGCTTGTTGAACTTACACAATATGCTGTAGCAACAAGTCCCACATCCCAACGTAGCTTCCATTGATCAAGGTTTCTCTCAAATGCAATGGCAATTACAAACGACTGAATGGTGCTCAAAAAGCACTGAAGTGCTGTGAAGAGAAGCTTCGAAGGGTAATCCATCAAAATCAGTCCCTGTCGGCCATCAAATTTACATCTTGAATCATCATTGCCTCTTTGTATATATTTACAGGGAGGTAAATCGTATGGCTGATTCCTTGTCTATGCAATTACTTTCTTCAGTTCCGTCCATGATTTGCCTCAGAAAACATAGCTTTATGACGGATCATGGATACATTTATTACGTATTCGATAACTTTTTTAGGGTCCACCACACTTGGTTGTAAATGCTTTTTATGAACTGATGGCCATGGCCCTTTGTATAGGTTTTCAGAGGGGTAAGGCTTTTATGTCCCCCCTCCTCCCTTTCTTAGGCTTCGTTTGGATCATGTAAAACATCATTAGTGTATATTTTATATTGAACTGTATAATAGGTGATCGTTGAATTTTGAAAATCGTGATAAAAAAGTGTAAAGTTTTATATCGATAAAATTGATGTAGTATTTATATCAATAATCAATGTAAAACTTTATGTTTGATGAGGTTTTACATCGATTCACGATATAAACCGGGGTGGAGTTTTACATCGATCTACATTTACACTCTTTCCAAACGTCAACAAAACCAAATCGATGTAAATTTTTATATTGTTCTTGATTTACACTGATTCTAAATGTAATCTAGAGTTTATTTTGTAATTGATTAATAAAATTTTTGATGGCCACCCCTCCCCTGAGAGTAAATTTTAAAATTAAAAAAAAAAATCACCTATCGTCTCAAAACATTATAATGAAGAAAAGCTACACTATCTGAGATCGAATGGATGAATATATTGCAAAACATGACTTAAAATTGAGTTTACCTGGAATACAATCCAGACACCCCATAAGGTGTTTGCTGTGAGCATCAAGAAGCAACCTTTTATCCATGTCTTAGTCGTGTGGGCAAGAGCTAGGTCCTTTTCACTGCTACTCTGTCCAAAAGGATGGTGATTTATCAAGGGTTTCAGATGTGGTCCTTTGTAGAAGGCAAGAGTCATGGCACCAGCCATACAGAGAAAGACACCTAGTACTTTGGCCTTCCCCGAGATGGCTCTCACATTAACAGTTTCCATCCTGTCACAGAGGTAAATACCGATGTAGATGAGCATGAAACAGGAACACTTGAAAGTAGTGGCAACTGGGCTGGTTGGGTTGGGTTTGGTTTGGGTTGAGTTTCAACTCAATCCATTTAACCTACCAATCCGTTAATGACCCAATTATGTAAAATTAAATGGGTTGGGTTTAACCTAAACCCTCTTTAACCCAATCCAACCCGCCCAAACCCATTAATCTTATATTTATGTACTTAAAACCAAAAACTAACTCCATCCTAATACATAAGTTGGTCATAGCTTAGTAGTAATAGTAGTTGCTATTTACACAAGTGGTGAAGGTTTTAATCACATTACATGCATTGTTTCTATATCAACAGCAAAGTCATTTAACTATGTTCGAGCTTTGGATTTGACGAACCACTTAGGTTCAAACCGGTCAGACCAACTTGAATTATCTAATTGGATTGTCTTTGAGCAAATTGCATCAAGAGTGATTGAACCGTTTAGATCTGGACCAGTCCGGTTGGACTAGGTCTCGATTGAACCGGTTCGGACCAGACCTGAACAGACCGTATTCAATCCGGTTGGGACCACACCCGACCGGGCTGATTCAACTCGATTGGGCCAGACCCCGATTGGACCGGTTCACTTCGATCGGTCCCAAGTCAAAGGCTCCAAAGGATCTAGGTCAGTTAGCATTGATGACCCGGGCCGGATTCGGGTCGGGTTGTATGGATACGAGCCGAACCAATGATCCAAACCGGGCAAAGCAAGTGGGGTGGTGTAGGGTCTAGACTTCACCCGGTCCGACCGCTTCAGATTTGGGTAGACCCGGATAAGCTTGTGTCGGGTCGGGCCGAGCTGTGTGAATAATGATTGGACTAAATGACCCAAAGCGCGCAAAGCAAGCGATACCGAGCCATCCTGTTTGAAGTCTATTTCAAATTCGACTTGACCTGGATTAGTATATGTTGGATCAGGTTAGACTGCATTGAACTGATCTAGACTTGGGTGAAATTGATTTGGATTTATGTTGGGTGAAGTGTATTGATTCAATACAAAACTAAATTTAGTCAACATTTAATAGAAAATTAATGCCTTAATTATAAATTATTTATTTCAAATGAAGAAAAAAAAATATTAAGGAATTAATACTTATGTTTGTAATGGTTATCCCAACGGTTATTCACAACCCAACCCAACCCAACCCATTTAAACGAGTGGGTTGGGTGATGGGTTGATCACACAACCCGACAAGTAAATAGGAAGGTTGGACGGGTTGGGTGAAAAATTGCCACCCCTACTTGAAAGCTATTTAAAATTAGGTGTATAAGTTGGATGGATTAAGTCGGGTTGAGTGACAACCCAGGCCCAATCCTAAGATATAAATTTTGGGTTTGGGCCTTACCCAACCCCAGGTCAAGCTCAAGTTTATCGACCCAGGTCTAACCTTAGTTTAACTCAATACAACTTCAACTAGACTCAGACTTGGATAGGGTTGAATTAGTTTTGAGAAGGTTGATTGGATTTAAAAGATTTTATGATTATATTTTTGTGTGACAACCAGGTTACCTGAGGTCTCAACCAAAGTTTACGTCAGGCCTGAATTCTATGGCCAGGCCCATTCCAAAAGCTGAAAAAACTCAGGCCGAACCTGTGCAAAAATTTGGGTTGAAACAGGTTAGACCCACACTAGTTAAAGTATTGTAGAGGTCTAACTAATATGATTGGGAATCATAGAAAACACTGTACCCAGAAACTTATTTTTCTTTTATAGGTATTACCATCCAGAAACTTAATTAAATCATGATCCATGGTAATAAGAGTTTGAAAACAAAATCAAAGCTAGCATCTGGGTTTGGAACCCATTGTATAAAACAAGCTCACATTCGGTGCAAATTTGGGAGGCTCAGCTTGGAGTTGCGAGATTTTGAATGAACCATATCAAAGACCCAAGCCCAAAACAGTCTAAAATACTAACTCGGGCCAAGCCAAATTGCACCCTGAATGACATGGGCAGTATCCTGCTCTAGGGCCAAAAACCATTAATTTTTTATTTTTAAATCAGAACAGGCTGTCTGTTCAAACTGAATGGTCAGACTGTTTGACCCGGAAACCAGTTCCCAAAATGGTTTCATACCCGACCTGGTTTTTAAAACCTTGAACAGCATTGGATTTTATGTTCTCTTAGATAATTAAGACTTACAGATACAAATATATACAATATAAATACAGATAAAAAAATACAAGATTTTGTGCTCTACATATTTGTATTTGTACTCCTTCCAAATAGAGGCTAAGGTGTGTTGGGTTTTTATGTTTTTATGATTACAAATTTACAACACTTCGCTTTATACAGTAGCGGGAAGAGGAACATAGGATGAGAGTACTTTTCAGCACCAAACTCAGTTTCATTTCATTTAAAGAACTTTTTCATGTGACTCATCCATCCTCTTTCCCTCTCTTGAATTTTTTATTTCCTTTTTAATTAAGTCCAAATCATACCTTATCTCCACTGGTATCGTCCACAACTAGTCCAGTTTTACAACAGAGATAACCTACTCTACACTCTATATTAGGATTTATAGGCCATTAATTTAATAAAATTAATTTTTAATCTCTGCTCTATTTTGTATCTTTTGCTATTTTATAGCCAATGCTCTAAAAATACGTCAACTTCTACTTAAAAGGAGTAAATACTTGCTTTATAAAAAGTAAAAGGAATAGCAGACCAATAAGAGCCGAGGCTCAAATTTTGGAATTCTAGACATTCCAAATCCTAGGGTTGCAAATAGGGCCGGGTTGGTTTGGTTTAGATCAACTCTAGCCCAATCCGATACTGTTAAAACATCAACTCTAACCTCAACTTCAACCCTAACTCATTCTGATTATGAGATCTACTATAACTATATCAATTAAAATCATTCACAAATACATGTTCGACTATAAATTATATGTATATACAAAAATGTCCTAAATAGATTAATGGCAAAGCTAGGCTATCTAGCTAAAGCTGCCAAAGCCACGGTGGAGAGTGGAAAAGGTTGATGATGGGTATCTTTGTAAATTGATGGAGAGAGAGAGAGGAATGGACATTCCCCGGGAGGTCACACTGATACAACTAAGGTATCTAAGCAAACATAGGAAATTGGCTTCTTATATTGCAGGTCAAGTTTAATGATATATAATCATCATGAAAACAATGATATATAATTAAATATAGTAATATTTTACAACTGTTGAAAAAGTAAGAGTGGTAATTTTGTAAATTTTTTTCAATATTTTATTTTTTATATTATTTGGTAACCTTGGGACGTGAGAGTTGGATGTTCTAGACCTGTAAAATAAAATCCCTTTTTATATCTTATAATCTGAAATATTTTGAGACAGAGAACAAGAAGTCAAAAACAAAATACCCTAAATTGGCTTTTTATCTTATTTTTTCATTCTATCTTCAACTTTACCTTTACAGAATTTTGTTTTATTTTTTTCTTTGATTTTTACCACCACATTTCGGTTGCTCCAACAACAACAAATCACCCATCATCATCATCATCATCATCATTTCTCCCTATAAAAAAAAGGTTTGAGGACGGCTCAGCAGAAGTGGTCGAAGTTCCCCTGTGGGAGATCAAGACTATTTTATATAGTTTTAATCTCTCTCATCCCCAAATAGAGGATCCTTCCGGAATCTTTTGTCTGTTGGGCAATTATGTCATGTCAGCACAAGTTAGCACGTGGCCATATTGGCGGGTGGCCAATTGTGAACCACTAATATGTGCTCATGCTGCTCTCATAAAGTCTGGAGTTGGACTTCTTTTTTCTGATCGGGTTTATGGGATGTGTAAGAGATTCGGACCCGGTTCAAAACAGGTCTTCTTTGGTTCGAACAATGGTTTCGCTCACCGTCCATTCATTATATAGGAGGAGGCCATTATCACGCTCTCTCAGACGTCCAGACGGCCAGACGGCCCAGACCCACTATAGTGCTCCACTAGGTCAAATTTCCCCCTTTAATTGGATTTAATTTGTTTCAACTTTTCAGCAGGACGTCTACTTTGTGCCAATATAGTAAGAAGAATATACAATTCGTGGTAATGTTGCCGGAATCTTGGGATTTGATGCTTTTGTTGGGCCAACCCCGTAAAAAGAAAGATCATATTGAGAGAGAGAGAGAGAGAGAGAGAGAGAGAGAGAGCTGTAAATCAAGAGCAAGAAGAAGGATCACAAACAAAAAACATGCATGTTTCTGTGAGATATAAATGCTGCATAACCGAGCTGTAAATCTAGCAAAGAACACAGTATTATTTGCTGTTTTTTTTTTTCTTTTATTTAATTTGAATTTTTCAATGTCTAGAATACAACTTGATCTGTATATTAAGGCTTAATGCTAAATAATGAAGAACAGAAAAAAAAATAATAATAAAGGCTCTGAACTCAAAATGAAAAAGTAGCTAGTATACGTACCTGAGCAGAAGTGCCAAGAAGAAGGTGATGACAGGAAGGGTATTTGAAGTTGCAGAGGCCAGCGTTGCAGATGTATAAACTAGAGAGACACCATAGATATCCAAGCTGGAGGTAATCCTGAAACCCAGAAAGTCTAAACTTGAAAAGGTGATAACTTTAATCTATATCAAACCCATGATTAGCTTATTAGCAGGAAAAACAAGAGGCGAATTGAAGCTCACTAATTCAGTTGAACGTACGTACCCAAGTAGAGAATGCAGGAAAATCTTGCAGAAGAGACGGAATGACAATGGTGGTGCTCTCTTCCTAGAAAGCGAAGAAATTTTTAGAATCCTCTGGATAAAATTGGTCAGTCAAGAAGAGGAAGAGGAGGAGGAATATAAGTTAACCTTTCAAAGAAAATGGCGAAAGGAACTAAGAATATTGTTGCAGCAGCCTGTCTATAGAAGACGAAGACGAAGTTGTTCATTCCATTATTGAATGCAGCCTTGGAGAGCAGGAACATACCAGCATAAATAGTTTGAACGAGAACCACAGCCAAATAAGGCTTCTTTGCATTCATCGTTCAAGCTTCAACTTGTTAGCAAATATGGGAGTTGAGATGGACGAGAGTCCAGAGCTCGAGGTATTTATACTTGGTTTCCTTTGGGATCACGTGAGAAAAGTTTCCTTTATTTTGTCACGTGTCTAGTGATTAGCTCATTTTCTCTATGGGCGGGGATGGGCACAAGTTGAAGGACATGTTTCAGCTCTGTAAAGTGTAAATCAATGAGAGTGATGATATATCTCCATCATCATTCTCTGACTCCAACACCCCGAGATGAAAAGAAATTGCAAACCAATCAGTAAATAGCACGGCGGTATTATCACAAGAGAGAGTTCCCATCTGCACACCACTCTAGTAATAATTGAGAAGGAAAAAGCTCTCATCAGTGGATGGCTGACACAGACATGGTGCGGTGCACCATTAATTTGTTTGTTTATGTTACATGGTGCTTCTTTTGAGGAATCCACAGGGCATCACAAATTAATATATACTTTGATCAATGGGGTTAGGCGTTTTCCCCAAGGGTTATTCTCTCTAATAGCTTGGGTTTTCTTTCAAATTAATTTGTAGATGATTCAAGTAAAGTGAACATCCCTTTCTTTTACTTTTCATTCACTATATAGTAGCTCTAGTGTTTTCCATTGATTCTTCAAATAGGGTTTCCTTTCCTTTGTTTTTTCTTTTTTAATTTGTAGATGAACCAAGTAAAGTGAAGATCACAATTCTGGGTTCCTCAGCTGCCCTTTCTTTTACTTTTTATTCAATAAGTTAGAGATTGGTGCAGAAGCTTTAGTGGCCGGTAGTTTAATAACCGAAGACGCCGCACAAAATATTGTACAAACAAACAACTCTCGTGGTTGAAATTTGACTCATTGATCGAATAATTAATGTTTTCAGAGGCTTCTACAAGAAAAGACCTCTCTTGTCCCTTGATCCTTGAACAAAATTCTCGCGCCACTATGTAAAATTAAAGATAACATTACAAAATCTCTTCTTCAAAAGCAGTAGTTTAGGATTTGGGCTCGGATCATGAATGCCAATTAAAGGTTGGAATTTCTTGGAAGATGGGAATGGTAGAGATTCTATCTTAATTGCCTATAGACATTTTAAGTTCTGTAGGGTTCTATCATTCTATGCTTTCAATGGGTTGGGTTTTTTTTTTTTTTCTTTTATTGCATTAAAGTAGCTAGATTTATAGGTTTGGACTCCCTGAACATCAATGACTATGAAGTATTAGCCATTAGGAATGACTTTTGGCTCACTAATTGTTGCCTTTTTCTAACACATCAATTCAGGCCATTTAGCCTTTATTTTTACTTCAGTAAGGGAGTCGAAAATAAAGCCCTTTTGTCTGAATTCTCTCTCCTCTAGCTTCTATAATTATTATTTTTTTAATTAAGATAAAATAGAAATTTTATTAAAAGGAAAAAGAAAAAGAGTACAAGAAGAGATAAAGTCAGTCACAGTGAAAAAGAAGGCTGTGGACAATATAGAAAGCATATACACAAAGCACCAGCCCAAGGGATCCACCAAGATCAACAACTGAACCAAATACCAACACAAAAGGCTTTGGGGTGACCTTTCCTCATCCTCTGCACCCATGACTCCGAATGCTTCTTGCACCTCTGGACTCTGGTGCCAGTTTTCACTGCCATGTTAATGTACGGGTCAACCAGCTTTCTTAGCTTTCTACCACTCAAAGACCACCACAGTCAGCCCAATTAATCTATGTCAATCTCTATCTCATCACCACTACTTTCACCCGCCAGCCCATATAGTAGGTATTCTTAAACAAATAGCTTCTTTCATTAAATTAATTCTCTGACCTGTTCTTCTCCACCAACAAAAATGATACCCAAAGTATTAGCCACCCTAATATCATTCCCTACTCTACTTTCTTCCTTACCCACCAACAACTTAAAATTCCTCTTTAGTGTCTTTTGCTCTTTTAGCTTTTCCAAGGCCACCTTCAGCCTCTCCCAAACTGTTGAGATAGGAACTAAAGAACCTTGAGGCCCAAGTCCACATTCACTTTCAAACCTGGACTTACTGCATGTACAACTCGAGGGGACAAGAATTTTTAGTACCAATTCAAGAACATTTACAGGTGACCCCATTGAACTTTCATCAACAAGACTCATAGTTCCAGCACCAGTGAAGCACTACACCATAGGACAACCCTTTGTTGGCCCCTCCTACCCTCCATCTAAGACTGGATTAGGATTCTTCCTCCTGTCTAATCAATGAAATTCCACCTCCCCTCCTGATGTGCAAACAGGGGATGGGCACTTACCAACAGGAGAGTAGGAGACCTACCACTCTCCCTAGACTCAACTATTAGACTTTCAATCACCACTCTTAGTTTAAAAACCATACCCCCACCTCTTGTAGGCACTATGGTGGGGATGGTCTAGGTTTCGAGAGTGAGAAGTAGAAGGGATTAATGCAAGAAGGTGAGTGACAAGGGTTTGGTGAGTAGAGTTGATATTCTCAGAGAACAAAGTGCTCCCAAGAACGATAGAATGGAGAAGGTTCAATCCCTCCTTCGTCACAAGTCCTGTTATTTAAGCCAGAATTCCAGAATATTCTTTTAGTGTTTGTTGGCCCGGTTCCCAGGTTGATCCAAACGTGTTGACACGCGTTAGCCTAGTATATGTTTGGGCATTGATGCTGCATATACAGCACCATTTTCTCAGAAAACAGTGCTGTATATGTGTGGGTTGGAAGCACCGCTTTCTAAGAAAACAGTGTCTTTTTTTTTTTTTTTGTTTGGAAACATTGGTGCCAGATATGACGTTTTCTGAGGGAACAGAAACACCTTTTGTTTGGTACTAATGCTCCATCTCTGTTTTCACCATTGGTACCCATTATAGAAAGTCCATGTCACTGGCACATCATGTCCTCGTTGGCAACAACGAGCTCCAAATTGAGAAAACGTCAAATTTGGTGTTTCCCCAGACCATACCTTCTCAATTTCCAATGTGTGGTTTGGAGCACCATATTTTATAAAAAGCCGGTTCCAAACATGTTATCATTTTTTGGAGCACTGATTTTTTTAACACGGCACTGATGTATCACCGTTTTCTGGAGCAACGGCATCGATGCCAAACGCCGCCCTAGAGAGTGGGAGGGGACCCAAAAACGGCTTGACTACCACTCTCGTATGGACTTACCACATGTCACACTAGAGGACAAGGTCTAGGACCATGCAGGTCGGTGCGATTTGCTTTTATTTTGCTGCATTCACTTTCCATACAGCAATTTCTGCTTCTCAGCCCACTAGTAAGTAGGGAAAAACTTTGGCGGTTGGGGACCTACAGCCTTTCCTGTTGAGAGAGTTTCTGAGTTGAACACATTACTATGAGAGTGGGCAAATTAGTAATTGCCTTCTGATTTATTTTGACTAAATACAAAATATGCCTGTGAATCAATAAACTGCCGAAACGTGCCCAATATAGAAACTCTCTCAACAGGAAAGGCGGTTAGTCCCCAAAAGCCAAAGTTAATCCCACTAGTAAAGATTGTGATTCCTTTACTTTTGGAGGAAGTCAGTCATGGTGTATTCTCTCATCGAGGTGTCTGCGGGTTTCCCCAAGTATATGCAGCTACAGCTACTCTTTGGTGACACTACGGTATTATGTGGGTCCATCCCCTTACACCTCTAAATGCAGAAGCTTCAGAATTTCTCAAACTCCTCTATATTGACCGTAAATCAATATCATATGTGTTATGTGATAACAAACACAACAAAAGATCCGTGTTATGCTAATAATGAATTGAAACCTTGAAGCTTTTAGGGTTTTCAGTTGTGTAAATCATTCTTCAAGGTGCCTCAAGATTTCTACTAAGGAAAATTGTACTGGCAAAGGAGGGAATAAAAAGGGAAAATGCCTCAAGACTTCTCCAGATGCATGGTGATGAAAGCAAAAAAAAAAAAAGGAAAATGAAAACTTATTATTCATGGTTCAAGATTGGTACTATTCAAGCAAGAAGTTTGTGTTTCAAAGGAGAAAGAGTTATAGGTAACTTTTGCAAGAAAGAAACTTCTCTCTAAACAAGAGACATCTCCTATGAGCATGACCAAATATATAGCATCTTTTTACTCTAGATCAGGAGATGACCCCAAGGAGATATCTCAATAGCCAGAACCTAAATGGGAAATTTTCAACACTAAGGAATCAACTCCTAAATTTTCAATAGACATCTTGCAGGAAAAGCTTTGCTTTAGTTGTCATTTTAAAATCTACGTTAATTTCCTTGTCTCAACACTAGTCACTTTTGAATTTTAAATCGTCAGAAAAGTATTTAAATAACTAACAACTGAGCCCTTGTTCAGTTGTTTGGTATCACTTATTTTAAGTAGTTATTTGAGTAAGTACTTAAAATAAGTGGCGTGACCACAAAAGAAGTGGCAAATAAGCACTTATTCTCATTTGGGGAAAAAGGAATGAATAAATGCTTATTTTCAAAATAAGTATTTAAAAAAGTAATCCAGGGAGTTGTCTATTTTAAGCATGGTTTTTAAAAACGAACCGGTGATCGAATCGGTTAGGGGTCCGGTTACCAGTTCGAGCAGTCCGACCGTTCAACTCGAATGGCCGGCCCATTCTGACAAAAAAAATAAAAAAACTAAAAAATTGGAAAACGGTCAAAACCATTTGAATGATTCGAATGATTAACCAGTCGGTTCAGCGGTTTGCTGAACAAAATCAATGGTTTTGAGGGAAAAAGTGGTTTTGGAGGAAAATGGAACCGGTTCCTGGTTTTTCTTATCCGACCGTCTGGTCTGGTCCGGTTTTGAAAACAGTGATTTTAAGCACTTATTCCAATTTTTTGGGACAAAACTCTCCCCCATTGTTTTTTCAAAATCCCATCAAGTCTCTTCTCCATTTGAGCTCCACACGAACCAAAAATGGCGACAGGCGATTCCAAGCTAAGAAATCATTCCAGGTATGTGAATCTCCTCTCTTTTTCTCCATTTCAGATATCTCTTCATGGCTATAATTGTCATTTCCACAAATATAAGTACTTATTGG